CTTGCGTAAGGACCGAGAAGCCTGGTGGTCGGAGCGTGCTAATGAGCTAGAAGTAGTAGCTGCATCTGGTAACTACCAGAAGCTCTTTTAACACATCCGAGCCACTGGCAGCAAGAAGTCTGGTGTGAACGAAACAATCCGTGTGGATGATGGGATGCCAATCACTAACATCAATCGACGTCTTGGACGATGGGCAGAATTCTTCGAAGGGCAGTTTAGCTGGCCTGCTGCTCCGGCAACATCGGTCGGACTGTCCTGACCTCCATGGCCGGTGACGACTGATCCACCAAATGAGGCGAAAGTCCTCAAGGAACTCCAACTCTTGAAGCGCTACAAATCACCGGGCCCAGATGACTTACCTCCGGTTCTTTTTACGGATGGTGGTGACTTCCTGACTAAGGAACTGACTGTGTTGTTTACAAAGGTCTGGGAGCTAGAGAGTGTACTAACGTCATTGAATGAGTCGATAGTTGTCCCTATCTTTAAAAACGGTTCACGTCGTTCCTGTAACAACTATCGGGGAATAAGTCTACTTCCGATTGCGTCCAAACTATTGGCTTCTGTCATACTTCGTAGGTTGTTCAAAACCCGAGAAAGATCGACTCGCGAGGAGCAGGCTGGGTTTCGTTCTGATCGAAGATGTATTGATCATATCTTCACCCTCCACCAAATGTTAAGACACCGCCATACTTATCAAAGGCCAACAATCGTAGTGTTTCTTGACATCAGGGCTGCCTTCGATTCGTTGGATAGGACTGTTCTCCGGGATTGTCTATTGAAGAAGGGTGTGCCTGAAAAGTTTATTAACATCCTAAAGGCCCTATATACAAACACCTCAGGTAGAGTGAGGGCATAGAACCACCTCTCTCCATTGTTCCATTCGAGCAGTGGGGTTAGGCAGGGTTGCCCGATTTCACCATCCCTCTTCAACTTTGCCACCGACGACATTCTGGAAATAGCTCTGATGGATGTAAATAATGGAGGTATGCATCTGTTGCCTGGAAAAAGACTTCTCGACTTTGAGTATACGGATGATATTGTCTTACTGTGTGATAATGCCTAAGCCGTGCAATCCGCACTTAATCAGTTGACAATCAGTGTTCGTAGGTAGGGTATATGCTTTGCACCTTCGAAGTGCAAAGTACTTCTACAACACTGGAAGGATTGTAATTCTGTACTCACCCTGGATAGTGAACAGATAGAAGTAGTCGAGAAGTTCGTGTATCTGGGTAGCTGCATAAGTGCTGGTGGTGGCATGAGTGATGAGATCAATGCATGTATAGTGAAAGCTAGAGTGGCTTATGCCAATCTGGGCCATCTTTGTCGCATTTGTGATGTTAGTCTGGCTGTGAAAGGTCGGATCTACAACGCGTCGGTGAGAGCAGTTTTGCTCTATGCTTGTCAAACCTGGTCTCTCCGAGTTGAGGATGTTAGACGACTCTCTGTGTTCGATCATCGTTGTCTCCGAAGGATTGCTGATATCCAGTGACAACACCATGTTAGTAATGCAGAGGTTCAGCATCGTGTGTTTGGACACAGAGACGATAATCTAATTGGTGTCACCATCCTGAAACACCGACTTCGGTATGTTCTACGAATGTCGTCCCAGAGAATTCCACGTCGTGCATTACTTGCCGACTCTGGGACTGATTGGAAAAAGCGGAAAGGTGGTCAGTGTTTGACATGGTGTCGTGGTATGAAAGAAAGCTGCTAAGGGCTGGCTTGTGTTGGTCCTTCTTGACTTCTTGGTTGGGGTCTGAGAGATGGTAGTACACAGTGGCTAGAGACGTTATCAGATATGGCTCAGAATAGAAACCAGTGGCGATCCTGCTGTAACCTTCTTTAACTTTCTTCGTTAAAAGTGTTTTTATCTTCCTTAACTGAAAGATTTCTTCTGATTGTACCTTTCCGTTCCCCCATTATTACTACTATTATTATTACACTACCTTACACCAATCTCTTCCTTATTGTTCTTTTTTTACCCTCCTTACCTTTTTTCCTTTTTAAATTCTCATTGTTTTGTGTGGCGCATATATATTTGGCGCACTCTTGTACCAATATTTATGTGTTCAAATAAATGAATATAAGGACTTTTCGACTACTTCTATCTGCTCACTGCCAAGGGTGAGTGCAGGATCATGGTCCTTCCAGTCTTGTAGGAGTACTTTTTACATACAAGGCGCGCATTATATTTCATACCTACGAATACTGATTGCCAACTGATTGAGGATTGCATGGCTTGTGTATTATCGCAGTAATACAATATCATCCCCATACTTAATATCGAAAAGTCTCCAGACAACAGACCCACACCACCACTACCTACATTCATCAGAGCTACTTACGGGACGTCATCAATGGCAAAGATGAGGAGGAAGGTTGAGACTGGGCGACCCTGGATAACCCCACTGCTCGAATGGAACAATGGAGTGAGGTGGTTGGTGCCCTCATTCTGCCTGTGGTTTTTGTACATGACGACAAAAAATTCTCAGGTACACAAATGATTCAGTCAGTCACAATGTAGGACTTCGTACGTACGTACATCAGTTCGAGTTGCCATACCACATTAGCATAGAGATGCAGTTGTCGATTCAAATCCCGTAGTGGTAGAGGTAGTAAGAGTATAAGTAGTAATCGGAAATATTAGGGTTTGAAGATGTCATTCATGGAGTACAATCTAGTAAAATAAATTTGTGAAGAGAAAAAAGGGACACGAAGAATTCAGAAAATTAGAATTTGGACAAACACAAAGAGTGGATGCACCTGCGCCATTGTAAACGATTTTGAGCCATGTCATTCAAAGTCTCTCACAATCGGTTGCTATCGTCTCGTGGATCCCAACCAGGAAGTCTACACCTACCAATATGGCTCAGCCCACTTGTCAATGACTTCATGGATCTGTGACATGTTTTTGTTTGGCCACTCCTAGCTTTCTCCCAACCTATTCCTACACCTTGAAACAAATGATTGATTACTGGGTAGCGACCAGTGTCATGTGCCAGATCCTGCTTAGTGCAGATCGAATTCTCTCGATCGAAGGTGGCCCTGACCTCGAGAAACACAATTGTTAATTTACAATAAGTATGACGGTGTCTTAACATTTGGCGGACGGTGAAGATATGATCAATACATCCTCAATCAATATAAAATCCATCCTGCTCCTTAAGAATTAATTTTATCGGATTTTGAACAATCTTCGAAGCCAATAGTTTGAACGCGATCGGGAGTAGACTTATTCATCGACAGTTGTTGCAAAAAAGACGTGAATCCTTTTTAAAAATAGGAACAACTATCGACTAATTCCGTGATATTAGAACACCCTCTAATTTCCAGGCCTTCGTAAACAGCTCAGTCAGTTCCTTAGCCAGAAAGTCTCAACCATCTTTAAAAAGGGCCAGAAGTCATCTGGGTCTGGTGACGTGGTGTTTTAGAAGTCGAATTTCCTTACGGACTTATAAATCAATGAATCAAAATAAGAGTAAATCTACAGCTTTCTAACTTACTTTAAAACTCATCAAATTTCAGTGTTCGAAATTCAGGACTATTTAATAAGACAACTAGGTCATATGATTATGTTAATAGAACATAAAAATGACAATTTGGCACTCCATGGAACTTTAACTTTCAGCGACTTAAGCTACTTAGAAAATATCATGTAAGAGGTCCGAACCTAATATTATGTTTCTGACCAGATCACAGAAATATTAAAGCATTTCAGTGATATAATCTGATGCACTGCCTCTAAATATTCTTTAGTGTGGAATGATTTAAGTGCGATGGAATGACATAAAGTGACTTCATCTTACACAACACTATAGTTTTGTAAAAAAAAAACTGAGTGATAAGAAGATTAACTGAGGCTATACAAATGACATGGAACCCTAATAATCGTGGAGGTTTTAAATGCAGCCATTACTTTTGGCATATATATATTTACCCATCAAGATACAATATAAAATGGTAGGGCACAAAATTATCGGGAGATTTGTTTTACGTAACCAGAAAGTTAACAGAATCAGTGAACAAGCAAACAAATACTTAAGGTTAAATAAGAACAAAGAGTCAAATTCGCCATTTATTTAACTCATAATATACAGTATGGTATTCAGGTACCATTGGGATAATGCACATATAAACTGGAGGTACGAACTGACAACTTTTATCAAGGCATTTTTATGATTTATGAAAACATCTAAGCATCGCGTGTGGGGACCAAACTGATATGGACATGAATAGCACCTTTAGTCCGCGATTCTTCTCGTATTGAGATTTTCTCATTTTCTACTTGAGATATAATCTGGAAAATAAGATGGATAAAAACATTTATTTAAAAAGACATTTGGTAAGATTTTAATGGTTGGAAATCTATTGAATACGGTGCTTTTACTTCTGAACTGAAAATTCTAGAATAAAATATACCTCACAAGCTATGTGGTGATAACTTCAAAAAATACCGACTCACATGTTTCTTAGTTGAACAGCTGCTCGTGTAAGTTGATATTTTGAGGTGCCCAGGGTACAATCGATGACTTAAGTGTAGAGCCAGCTCAGTTGTCCTCATAATACTAAGCGGTCCTATACCGTGAATCCAAAATCCAGATGGTTTTGAGGGATTGGACTGAGATGAACTATGATATTTATATAATAAACGATCCACGAAACGACTTATGTAAAGCACCTGGCTCTAAAAAGGCATGATTTTTTATTTGTATATTACCATAAATCCGGACTTTGTAGATATGAAGATATGCCGAGATCCAGATGAAGAAGTGTAAATACAGGGGGTTTCACCGATGACAGCATCCTCAGCTAGCAGATCTGTAACCTCCCAAACAGACCCATTGGGAAGGCATTCGTTATCCCTTGATGACATCTTCATTATAATCTACCGGGTGGTATGTTAAACGACAAACGATCCCCCAATTCACCCCAACTAACCCGGAAATTTAGGAAAGTAATGATCCAAACGACAAAGACAACTGTCCACGACAATGCTCCAATTAAACTGAAAGTGACGTCTACAAATGAAGTTTTGATAAAAAATTTCAGTACATTTCCTAATCAGCTTAGACTCTGGATACGCCTGTGGGGCAGACAACTCCTTTAGAAAACAAAAAACGTTAATCCACCAGAGGAAAGGGAGAAATCCGATTCCAGCTAATAACAGAATAGGATTTTAGACAACCAGAATCACCTACCGAAGAAGTAAGTACGGCTGAGTTTGAGCTTATCTTCACCAGTAAGACGTTTTATATCCATAAAAACCTACAAAACAAAGGATAAAAATCTAGGATGAGGAATATCGATATAATTAGGACAGTGGTATTCTTTCTCGTTGAGTTAATTAACTGTTTTGATCGTAAACTACGCATCAAAACTACTGTTTATACTTTAATTGCATCTACCCCAGTTAAAGTGATATTGTATTGAGTTTTTCGATTTTGCTTCTGTGTATTTATTGCATCGAAGCATACTTGGTCGACTTTTACTTGGTTTTTTAGTTAAGGTTTGAAAATCCCTTTACATATCCTGTTTTTTATCACCGTTCTAGTTGATTTTCACGATGGCTAGGTCTACTCATAAATGTGGACAACCATACTGCTTATTTCCCGTGGATGAAGGGATGCAATGTGATGAGTGTAATAAGTGGTTCCATAAGATGTGCACCCGACTAAGCCCCACTGCATATAAAAGGTGTTCAAAGCCCAACTCTCATTGGCTTTGTAGTTTTTGTTGCTCAAGCAAAACATTGCTTATCCAGGAAGCAATTAGTCTCCTGGTGTTGGCTAATAAGAAGGTTGATGAAGGCTGTACTGATAACATTGGTACTGATGGCGAAGATTGCGTTAGTGTCGTAAGTGCTATCACGGCGCAAGCCAGACATCTACCTGTGCAACCCGCAGTTAAACGTTCTCCCCCGAAACGTTCAGTGAGTGACACGTCATTAGACGTTGGTGGCCATATTGCTACAGCAGCAACCGGTGACCCAGATAAAACAATTACTGTCCCGAGTTGTTCTAATGTAGACGTTTCGACTGATGGAAAATGGATGACGCGAAAACGCAGAAGAGTAGGAAAGATAGCTAGAACTAATGACTGTTTACTTGGTAAGTCCTTGGTGGACTCTCAGGCCAATCCGCCAAAGTCCCATAGTAAAGCTTCGTCTGACATTGTTGTGAGTCATTCGCTTGACTCCCAGGACTCTGTTAAAATAAAAACTAATCGTAAGATACCAGTAGTTAAAATACAGGATCTAACGTCACGGTCGAAAGCTGTGAACACAGTTTCAAAAGAAGCCAAACCCCTCTCTAGTTTAATTATTTGGAATCTAGAGGAGTCGAAAGACAACGACCCTGCTAGAAGACATGCACATGACCTGCAGTTAGTGGAGTCTGTGGTAAGGAATGTACTACCTGAAGAGGTTTCAGGAGTACATATTACAAAAGTAATACGACTTGGTAAATGGGTTGGAGGCGAGACCCAACCAAGAAGAATCCTGAAGCCGGTTCTCGGGAGTTTTGATGGAAGAGACATATTATTGAAAAGCGCACTAAAAACTCGTGCCTCAAATATCCGTATTCGACCAGATTGGCCACTTGAGGATCGAATCAAGTGGAAGAATGCTCTTACGGAGTTGAGGACTCGCAAATTAAATGGCGAAAATAACCTTACCATTAAGGGTTTTCGGGTAGTCAGGTCTTGGAAGCCAATGCTTCCGAGGCCTGTATGGGTAGAACGATTGATTGCCGAAACACCTTAAGTGTGTGCTACACGAACGCTCGTAGTCTTAGAAATAAAACGTCCGAGCTAAGTCTGATGGTGCAAGAATTATGTCCCGATATAATCGTTGTTACAGAAACTTGGTTCACCGTTGATATAGACTGTCCTCCTTTCATTGCTGGTTATATCTGTATCAGAAGTGATAGAGTTTCTAGTCGCAAAGAGGGAGGTGTAATATTATACGTTAGGGATCACTTTCGTATACAATCAACCATATCAGAGGCTCATATCAGTGGCACATGTGAGGTTGCATGTTGTAAGATTTAATCTAGAAATGGGTTAGTGACTATAGGGGTAATATACCGTAGTCCGTCTTGTCTTGCTGACAACTTTATCCTAAGACACATCTGTTCTTGGAGTACGGCAGAATGTTGTCTCGTCATTAGGGACTTCAACGCACCGCATATCAACTTGATAGAGCTTACAGCTCCAGGTAGTGGTTTCGATAGCGACCTTTTATCTACCGTTATTCAGTGTGCACTTGTACAATGTATCACAAAACCAACACATATTGATTTGCAACATGTTCCGTCACTGCTGGACCTCGCCCTCACCCACCACTCTGAGGATGTCCTTGATATCCAGCACTTTCCTCCACTAGTGAACAGTGATCACGTTGTAATTCGTTGCCATAGTCATAGGGTTCATCGTTTGTGTGTGGGCTGTGATACTGCCCGGGTGCCCAAACCGAAGCAGGTGGTTGTCTTAGGGGGCCACACCCCGAGCCTTTGACCAAATGGTCTAACCCACAAGGCAGTGGAACATCGTAAGGAGATGCAATCCCATGGTAGCCGGTGACCAACGATCGGTTCATACGCCATTTGTTCCCGCAGGATACTGGAGCCCATGTGCACCATTGGTTTGTGATCCGGTTAAAGCGCCGGACGTTCGCTTTTCGTCCTCTCATTTTCGTAAACAACACCCCCGCCGCGAGAAGGCAATGAGTAGGACTTCCCTGGCAGAGGCTGTATACGCGCGGCCGTGTGAGAGTATTTCGAGAGGGAGAGCGGACTCTCCCCACTCTCGGCCGTACCAGGGCGTTCGGGGGCGTTGTAATTCTTCGTTATCGTTCTCTTTTGTGCTCCTTGGTTTTTTTTTTTTCTATCTCTTCGAAGTTACATTGTTTTGTGTGGCGCATATATATTGGCGCTCTCTTGTACCAATATTTATGTGTTAAAATAAAATAAATAAATACGTTGTAATTCACATTAAGTTTAGGACACATGGTATACAATTCGCATCTGCTCCACCCCGTCCCAATATCTGGCGAGCCAATATTCCGGAAATCAGAAACTGTGCTATCTCGACTGATTGGTCGGTCGACGCGGATGGACTGATCGAAGATGAATGGAATAAGTTTAAGGCTACATTCGAGTCCGTAACGTCGCCGTTTATCCCATGGTCAGCACGTAAGCTATCACATTGCCCTCCATGGATTAATAAGGAAACCCGGAAGCTGTTAAAGCGTAGAAAACATTTCTGGGACTTATTCTTGTTGACAGGTCATGCACCATTTAAGCGTGAGTACCAAAAATACCGTAATATCTGTAAGAAAACCATAGCCAAATCTCGTACCAATTACGAACGACAGTTAGTATATGATAGTCGTACTTGTCCGAAACGATTGTTTTCGTATGTTAAACGGCAAATGAAACGTAGTGATAGTATTCCCCCGTTACTGTTACACGACAATTCAGAATTACTAGCTGAATCAGATCGAGCAAAAGCTGAGACTTTTTCAGACTACTTTAGCGAAGTCTCCTCTACGTTTATTGTAACAAATACTTGTCCCACTCACACCGAGATACCAACCATCGAATCTGTACAGGTGACTGAGGAAACTGTCCTTCCGTTGATAACTAACCTCAAACCTGGTAAGATACCGGGCCCTGACGGGTTACATCCACGGTTGCTGTCATCTCTTGCGGACATTATTTCAAAACCGCTTGTGACACTCTTCAACATGTCCCTCTCACTCGCTCAACTCCCTAGAGATTGGAAGGACGCTATAGTTAGTCCTATATTTAAGGACGGTCAGCGACAGATAGCATCTAACTACCGGCCTGTCAGTCTAACTAGCATAGTCGTTAAGTTACTCGAAAAGATAATTCGGGTTAGGTTGCTAAGCCACATAGATTTACACAATCTGTTAGCTCCTGAGCAACACGGATTTCGTAACAAGCGTTCATGCTTGACTAACTTGCTTATTGCGAGGAAGGATTGGACAGCAGCCCTAGATAACGGTCTGTCTGTCGACGTGATATTCACAGATTTCAGCAAAGCGTTTGACAAAGTTTCACACGTAGGTCTTATGCAGAATCTCACGAGCTTCGGAATAATAGGTACTGTACATGAGTGGATAGGAAATTTCTTATGTGACCGCAGACAGAGAGTTAGAGTCAACGGAACGCTATCCGATTGGAAGCCGGTCAAAAGTGGTGTACCCCAAGGCACCATCTTAGGCTCTCTGCTCTTCCTTCTCTACGTTAATGATTTACCGCTGTTACTTAGGTCGTCGACATTATTGTTTGCGGATGATGTAAAAATCTGGAGAACAATAAAAAGTGCGGCTGATCATGTGGATCTTCAAGCTGACTTAGACGATTTAGTTAGATGGGCTCGAGAGTGGGGCTTAGAAATCAATGCTAGGAAGAGTGTACTAATGCACATCGGTCACGGTAATAGTTACCGTTGAGGGTAAACCTCTTCCATGCGTTCAAGAGCATAAAGACTTAGGAGTAATATTAAGTCGTGATTTAAAAACAACTAAGCATTGCAAAGCAGCCGCTATCAAAGGTTTTCGTGCGTTATGGTCACTTCGCCGAGCGTTCAAATCTTTTGACGAGGAAATGTTTAGAACTTTATATCCCATATGTGTTAGACCACATTTAGAGTACTGTATCCAAGCAGCTAGCCTGTGTCTGGCAAAGGATACTAACTCCCTTGAGCGTGTCCAGCGTGTGGGAACGAAATTAGTGAAGGGTCTTTCTAGACTCCCTTACGATGAGCGTTTAAAACGCCTAAATCTTTTCCCCTTGTCGTATCGTAGGACACGAGGTGACCTTATACTGGCATTTCGTATCTTTAATTATGATTTGGGTGTTAATATGTATTATCTTTTTGCTCCCTCCAGCACTATTAATCTCCGAGGTCATAGCAAGAAGGTTCATAAACCACGATCTAATAAACTTAAAGTGGGATCCCGTTTTTCTCATCGAGTAGTCAAAGATTGGAACGCCTTACCCGAACAAGTGGTATCAGCCCCATCAGTGAATACTTTCAAGGAAAAGCTGGACCTTCACTGGAAAGCAATGTGTCAGGATTAACACAGGTTCATCAACCTACTATCCTTATTACTGAAGACTGACAGTCAGGCGGTAGTATTGAGTGGAATTTCGACACTTTACTTATAACTTCTAAGATATCATAGTATAGTGACAAATCCATACATAATCAACGATTATTTGGAAGCATATGTTTTCGACCAAATACATTTGATTGCATGTCAATAATCTAACGTTCTAAACTCAAGTATGGATTTTTGTTACCTTAAGACTTCAGAAGCTCCTATTAACTAACAAGCACACAGACTGTCAAAATTAGGAGTTTTCGGTCGAAAGGGTAATGAAAACTAAGTGTGTTGTGTTCTAATGTAGTTTGTATCACAACTTAAATGAACTTTTACATGGGTAGTAGGGATATGACCATACTAGGCATAAAAACATAACAGGCAACACCCCACAAAGTACTCAGACTACCTACAAGGGTTATTTTGTTTGCAGAACATAAACTGATTTCCTCGACACTTTGTGATGACACGCAAGGCGGGAAATGGGCGCCAATATTTCGGAGTATTTTTCTCTGACTATGAACCATGGATCAATCACAGAATCATAATAATAGTCCGAATCCCAAACGAAACATTACTTTTTATTTAACGAATAGTTTGGACCCACTTTGGGTCACTAAAATGTGCAGTGAATTCCAAGGCTATCAGAATAGATCATAGATATTTCTAATTGAAATGAAGTCTCTGGGTTTTAGTGAGTAGCTAGTAAGCTTAGTGCAGGACCATATAATGAAGATATTACAAACTATCCGAAGACGTACATTATTGTCTAATTTTCCCCCTTTTTAATTACAGCACAAGAAGATGAGATTTTTAGACCAACCTAGTAATTGCGGTTATCAAGTTGTACTATGTGTGAATGATTCCACTTTTTGTGTAGGAGTCTCATATTTTGGGAAGAAATCGCGTCGAAAGAAGTCTTCAGAAAACACAGACCTTTAGTGTTAAAACCATTAACTATTTCAGCGTGGCTAAATGCTACTTTTGAAGCCCGGTAAGAAACGCCATCCATTTTGAATAAAAACTTGATAATTATTTTATGTATAAATTTTTTTAGCCTGAGCAATCTGCAAAGAAGCCAATCTATTATGTCATGATGTTTCTCTTAAGAAATTCAGCTGCTTTTGCTTGAGAACTGTTTGGAATCATTTTCGCCACAAACTTGGAAACTCATTTTTGCAAGTGATGTGCTGTAAGTTCCTCTTGCCTCGAGAAGAAAGCCATCCTTCTACAAAAAGAGTATGGATAACAGCATCCAAAGAGGTACTTCGAGTAAAGAGTTAACATATACTAGCTCGCCTTGAAGTGCCAAATTAGATACTCGTGAAGTACGTATGGATAAAAATGGACGTGATCTTAATGGTGATACAATTTCCGTCATCCCAGAAGACCTGTTATGTGTTTTAGTACTAGCCTATACCCATAAGTAAATCGCTTAACCTTGTAGCGGTAAATAAATCCCCAAACTAAATAGCTCTGTAGGTTTTCGACATTGGATGCTGACCATATGTTTTAGTGGACTCATCTAGCTGAAGGCGCTCGGTCATGCATCCGCACCAGATCACGTGTGGTAACGCTGTGCTAAACATCTACCGCAATCGCTAGCCAGATTAGATCAGAGATCTTCCGATATATTGGTTATCGCCAAATACACTCTTCCGATCTCCTCGACTCTGTCTTTTGATTTCTCTCGGTAGGTACAAATTATATTAGAAGGCGTTGCTGGTAGAAGCGTTGTCAAACACTGAATACCTGTATCATCCTCAACCTCAAAACGGAGGAATATATGCAAAAATATGTTAAATCTTCTTCGTAATGGGTATCTGAACAGAGAAAAGTCGCACCCAAAAGTTATGGTGATTACACTTTCTCTTGTCTTCATCAATTGAAGACTCAACATCCGCTTCCGTTTCAACCTCGATATGTCTGCTGTAGGGCACTTAATTGTACGTTCATATATCCAAGAAAAATCTCAAGGGTCTGAGGTAGATTTAAAGCACGAATCACTCTTATTACAGAAAACTGGAATCGGGAGTTAATTGAAGTTATGGAGTTAGGTAAACGCCTATGAACATACCGGCATCAACCCATGTTGCACTAAAGAGCACATCCTTTTGACACAAGAGATTGCCTATCGATTGTAAATATATCACAAAATAAAACTTTTGACTCTAAAACGGTCAAACAACTCTGGCTCATTATTGGATACAACCTTAACCTCATTATCCTTATCAAACAAACAGGTGAGAGGTTGTGTTCATCATTTCCTTATTCAGTTTATAAAGTTTGAGACATCGTTGGAAACTTTCCAAACTGTACCTCACTTTCTTCACTAAATCGTGAGGTCAGGAAAAGCTTTTGATCGTCTGGACAGAGTTTGTTAAACAAAACTTCTATCGAGATTATTACATCATTGCGAAAGCACTTATTACTACCGTATGTAGTGTGAACATGATACCTCCTGTCATCCGATATTGAGTGTTAAAAAGTTTGTCTGTTTAAATTAAGACCTCCCACCCCAACTGACCAGCGATTGTGCAGCAAAGACCTGACACCATCATGAAAACAGGTTCTACAATTGAAAAGTCCCTATTTCGAAGACGAAAAGATTATCTATGTATATGCTCAATAACAGCTTAGCCTTCTGGCAAATCTAAGTTATTGGCTCTTTTTGATTAAAGTCTAAGGTATTTTGTATATCGTATTCTAAATATCACATCTATTTTTTTCCATATTTATATTCCGTTAAGGCATTAGTTGTTAACAGGCGTAATTGGGTAAGTAAGCAAGATATCATTTCGATACCGTTAAGTGTTAAACGCAGCACAGCGTGAAAACCAGAAAGCTGACCATAACCTGTAGAGATAGATACTGTTATGAACAAATCCTCACTCGAAGGATCTGATCGTAGTAATTCTGAGTCTAGGTTTACTCAGCTGAAGTGCCACTTCATGGGGCCCAGAATCAAATCTGAGGGAATGTGACACTGAGATTTATGCTCTGTAATCCCTTTTTTATCTGAAAAAGAAGTCCGTAAATCAATTTGAATTTCTCCACATTGTGACCGTAAACCATTTTCAAAAGCGAGACAGTGGACCACTTATCTTTATGATACAGCCAAATAATTCAAAGGCTCTTCTAACAAGAGAAACTAGGTGACGAGTCATCATCCCAGTTCTTCTCTCACCCTCACGTCTAACTTGGTGACAACACCTTTGGTGAAACAGACCTGAAACAAGGATGGATACTAACTCTCCCATGCAACGTCTAACACAGTGTGGAGATATGACTAACTAACTTATTTTGTAAATAGTTTTCAATATTATCTGTATTTATTTTGTCAATCTTTCACTGTATGTATATTCATTATTAAATGACTGTACCTGTTGTTTTAGTAGATGTCCTTGAACACATTTTACGTTGTGTAACCACGTAGCGTGACACATTTGTGGTTGTTCTCAAAAACACTGCTAAACACACTCCTTGTTCTACTCTGACTCGTTACTGAGCTAATTGCATCCTAAATCGAATATTATCCACATTTATAGACTGTGAGCTGAGACATATCGCAGACAACAGTGGATTACATTATTGGAGAGTTCAACAACCTGTACGGAATTATCGAATATTTATAATTGTGGATCTACAATACCAGACCCAACCAGAACACGCAACTCTTGATGAATTTAAGTAAAGTCCATATTTTTACGTGGTATTAATAACTATTAACATTGTTATTTACTCTTCATAACTTGGTTAACACTTTTCCGCGGTTCATATTTGTCTGGTCTACCACAACCATCTGGACGCACAAGACGCAAGCAGATAAGATTATGGAGAGAATCTCCTAAACGGATCACATATGATATACCGCATAAGAAAATAAAAATCATTGAACGATGCGCTTATAACAGAACTTAATGTCTGACAGAGGCCGCTGTCGTAATGCGAAGAGATCACAAAAATCGTAGCAGATCACCACAATGACTGAAGTCCAGTTTATAGTGCAGATCACGACCATCCTGACAGGCTGGACAGTCATATTGAATCTACTGAGAGTTTGGTGCCAAATCAATCAGGTTCAACTATAGAAATATGGTCTAAATTTATGTCAAGTTGATTCGTCTATGCTATGATCCTACGTGGAAGACACATAATTGCATATGGTGACTCTCCCTATTGTTACTGTCAGCAGTATGGTTTCTGGAATATCTGAAGACCTCACTTGGGCTGGAGATATGATAATATATTAAGTATGAAAAGGAAGTCACATGGAGTGACCATATCTGCATGACTTAGCCTTGCCATGCCGACTAAGTATTCCGACGTCTACCATCTCTGACATCTACATGTTAAATGTTGAGTGTGGATTTTCTCAGCTGTCATATGTTGAGCTCTGAGAGTCGTGTGGATAAGAACCAATACCACTACATGTTCGTGTGTTTGAATTCGAACATTTTGCTCTAATTGTTCCAAAAGCCTACCACGACCGCCATAACGTTGTTCTTTCTGTTTGCAGCTAAGGGTTAACATAGGCTCAGCAAATGTTGTCAAATGCTATTCTCTTTGCTTTCAATTTTTCTTGTCTTTGTAACAGTCCGTCACAAACCCTTTCATCCGACTAATTATGAGTTTCGAGATAAGAGTCTTGCTTACGAAGTTGGTTATAGTTTCTGTGAAGTGATGCTGTATTCTACTGGAATACCGCCCAGTTATAATTAGTTGTATGCGTCCTATTGACCGATAAAAAGTTGAGAAAGTACAACGCCATTTCACAGGACTTATCACACTCGATTTATCGTATAAAGATGAGAAGCATGGGAACCGCATCCTTTGTGATCAAGACTAATTAAACTCGACCCTAGTTTACTTTTAAAAATTTCATATAATAAAACTACAGCAATTTGTAAAACTTTAAAATCTACCAAATGTAGTGACTATAACCTTCAGAACCAGAACTTTATACTAAAGATATCAGGAAGATTAAGCAAATCGAGGTGAAATTTCCTCACACGCCATGCAAGCCTCTGGAATAGATAACCATTAGACATCCGGTCAAGCCGGACGCCTGCTCAATTTAAAGATTCCCTAAAATGATTTGTTGACAGATTCGGAGCTAAACGTAACCAGGCTGCATCTAACGATGGTCCACCCAACATCTAACCGACTGGCATCTAGTGGTAATGTCACAAACTACTATTATTCGACCCCCAAAATCTTCTGTCATTTCACATTCAATATATGTCGCTGCCCAAAAAGTGTTTTGTTCGTTTTCTTTTGTTATGAGCTTCATATTCCGTGTTCATAAATATTAAAAATATGTTTCTTGATCTTTCTTTTGATCTGCACAACCATTGATATTGTTGCACACATCGGGCCTTAGAAATAACGTGAACCACAACCCAATAAAACTCTATGCAACTAGAAACTGTTCGGGTGAGAAATCAGATCTGTCCTATCATAAGAAGCTTTGAAAACATCCAGAGTTATGGTGAGTTATTTCTGGTTCATATTCTACCAGCATGAA